GGGGGGGGGGGGGGGGGGGGGGGGGCGGCGAGTGCAGAAGGGTATCTACGCACGGCGGCATGGCAGCGGCCAAGGCGAAAGCGATGAGGGTTCGGCGAGATAGGGTTGCGCATGAAGCACGATGGCCGGCACAGAGAGACAGGCTGAGCGGCCGTTCGATCGGGCTTGGCAGGCGTGCGGCGACAATGCGGCCAGCCAGCGGGCGAGGGAAGGAACGGCGACGAGCAGCGACGAGGCTGAGGAGCGAGGCGGCGGCTGTTGTACCGAGCGGAACGCGCGCCGTCGCAGGGCCGTCGCAGGGCCGTCGCAGGGCCCTCGACCGGTGCTGCAAGCATGGGGCCGACGACGGTTGAAAGAAGCCGAGTGAGACCTTGGAGCCAGACTCCCGGAGATCCCAGACCTCCCAGACCTCTTCGGAGGCCAAGCGAGAAGGGCGTAGGAGTAGAGTAAGAGAGCAGAGACAGAGAGGCTTGCCGAGGTAGCGGGTGCATGCAACATCGGTGGGAGGCGAGTGCCAGTATGCAGTCAAACAGCGCGAATGCATTAGTCGAATGCGACCCTCCGACCGAATGCCATCCATCGCCTCTTGAACGCAACGTTCCCAGCCGCAGGCCAAAAAAGAAAGTCGAAGTAAAAATAAAAATTAATTAATCGGTTTCTGCAGAGGAGGAGTTCCGCAGCTTCGGCTGAATTAGGAAAGGCCGTCCATCGTCGCTTTGAGCCGCTCGAGGTGGAGTTGAAGCCGCAGCTGTCGAGTGGATGCAGCTGCAGGCTGGTGCGTGGGAGCGGCTGCATCACGACTGCATCGAGTCGTGGTACAGTCAATGGTGCATTTGCAGTGCAGCCATTCATCAGCAGAGTCTGGCAGCAGTTGCGCTCGCTCGACTCTGTTGGTGGCAGCCGCCGCGTCGTGTAAAATCACGTCGGTCAAAACGAGGAGAAAGGCGGTTCAGCCGGCTCTTCGAACGAGCACGCAACCGGCGCGTTTCCCTCGCACCAAGCGACACAATGGCTCCGCCAGTGTGGCGAAACCGATCCACATGCGCCTTGTAGATACCCTGTGCCCATGAATGGTAGTGAGAGCCGCTCGTGGTCTCCAGGGCAGCCAATCTGGTGCGCTCGCGCGATACAAAGATTGTATGAAAGGAGCGGGCTGTCTCAGCCGTCTTCGCGGCGACGATCACAGGCGGCTGTGCCGCGCCGAACTGGCCTCACCCACAACTGCGCTTACAGGCGACCCGCAGCGTCACGTTGGTCGGCCCAACCGACCTGGGAACTGCGAGGCGAGGCGAGTCAAGGCAAAGCGGCTGATGCCCAGCTAAGTGGCGGCGCTCTCAAGCTCAGCCGACGGAAAGCTTTGCGGCTTGTGTGACACTGCTCCGGTGCCGTTTTTCGAGGCTGTAGGGCAACTTTCAACTTTGGCTCTCACACTCTCTCACGCTGTTTGAATTTTATTTAACTTTTTTTTCATGGGTCGAAAGCAACCTTGCTTGACGGCAGTGGACTTCGGCGACGGAAATGCATCGAAGTGGAGTTGGTTCTAGAAAGCAGAGCGGCTCACTGGCTTACCGGCTCACCACTGGATCCACGTCGAGCGTCCGCAACCCTGGGCCCCTCTTTGCAGTCGCAGCCGTGATCGTCGTCGCGGCCAATCCGAGACTCACACAAGCTGACCTACAACGAGCCAGAGTCGGTGACGTGCTTGTTGACTGTCCGCTGGCCGCCACTCGCCGTATGACCAGCTCGTGCACTGCACCGGGTGCATCTGGCCCAAGGAACGCTCCAAACACTTGCGATCCTGATCGACCTCATCTGGCCACACCAATCACAATCGCTGCTGCAAGTCTGGCTGCTATGCGGCATGGTTGGCGTCGTCAATCGCCAATGCTGCCACACAAAGCGCAGAGAAAGAATGGTCCGAGCACGGTATGGGGTCGAGTAAGCCATGGCGGTGCGGCGGCAGTGCAGGTAGCCCGAGTGACTGCACAGCGGGGGCGCAAGCCAAGCAGCGTGACACAGCTTTGGTACGCATGAAATTGATCCGACTCAGCTGCAGCTGTGCAGCCTCGGGTGGGGCCCAAGCGAGCCTCTGAGCCATCCTCGGCCAACTGCACAAGAGTCTCGACCTCCCAAACTGGATTCTTGCCTTTTCTCCTCAGCCCCCGGTCGGCGTCTGGCCGTTGCATCCCAGCTTCGCCCGCCACTCGCAACCTTTCGGAGCGGCTTCTAATTTGGGCCTCCTCCTCGTCCTTTTGGCTCCGAACATCCGTCAATTTCTTGAACATGACCCCATCTTTGACCGCGTTTCGCGTCGTGTACGCGCAAACGAGGCAAGATGCGGCGTGAGCACAGAGAGCCAGCGTGTGACAGCCAAAGGATCGGCTTGATGTCCGCATCATGCGCTTCTGCGGCTGCCGACTCCAGTCGTGGATAACCCGGCCTGGTCAGCCGTCATTGCAGGCATGTTGTCGTCGGCTTGGCACTCGCCGACAGCGTTCCCAGGCTCGATCGTCGGTGCGTACAATGGCACCAAGGCTCTGGCATCTCCGGCGTCTCCGCGCGATGGCGTGCCCATTCTGCGCGACGGCATCGTTCCCACAACCAACGTCCCTTTGAATCAACCGGCTTGACCCAACTAGCGCGGCCGCGCATCTGCAGTCGAGTCTCTCCGCTTCTTTGCATGAGGTGTCGCGGGCGCGCTTCCACTCGAAAATTACTGCAATTTCCCTCGAGGCTGACTGATGCATGGAAGCCCCCAATGCAGGAGGCGCACGGCCAACTGCATGTGTCCGTCGCTGCTTTGCTTGCTCCAGCAAATGAGCTTTTTGCAGCAGCTAGCAAGCTCCAAGCTCCGAGCTTCGACGGTCGGGACGAGAATTCGGCGAGCAGTTCGAGTCTGAGCCCCATGATTGGCCTGGCCCGAGCGCGTTTATCAGATCTTGGCCCTCTCTGCACGAGGGCATCTCTGCATCAAGGCATCTCTCGCGCGCATCATCCCTCCGGCGGGCAACTCTGCGATTCGCCGAGATGAAATGGTGCCATCCTCCGCCAACTGTTGCCCCGACGTGCGCAGTGCCAGCGCATCGCCGCCTCGGGATCCGACCGCTCCGCCAGCGATTCGCGCGGCTCGGTCTCAAATCGTTCTCTCCATTGTTCTGCCGTAGGTTTGTTTTGCCAAAGGTTCGAGGGCATCGTTGTCGAAAGTTGCATCTAGGATCGCTGGGCGGTCTCATCCAAGTGCACAAGTGCGATTAGACAGTGGTTCTGCCGGCTTTCAACAATCTCTTCTACGGTCTCTGGTTCGGGTCGAGAGGAGGCGGCGCTGAGCAACTGCCCTTTTTTACCCGAGATCTCCTCGGCCTTGCGTCTGCGAAAATCCAGACTCGCGCTGTACGCCGATGTCGGTGGCGGCCTCGACGTCCGCGGTCTCGAACCGCCTGTTGGCCACAGCATCGCGCCTTGACAGCCGCACAATTCTGGTATTCGTGCACCGCATCAGTCGACTTGATGCGGGGAAGCGATCCAACTTGCCGCATCGTCCAATCGGAAACGCTCTGCCGTCGACGAATCAGCATTCGCATTCGCATACGCATTGGCCTGGGCCGACACTACCAGTGACATCTCGTCTGCTGTCACCTGCTCAAGCATGCTCGAGACTGGGCTCGCGGCGTTGGACCTGCATCCTGCGTGAGCGGCTCTCGCCTGCAGCATGTGTTTGTCTAACTCAGAGTCCTCTTTGTCTCGGCTTGCTCGCTAGCGTCCGCCACCCAAGCAGTGCCGCTCGAGGGTCCCAGCTAGAGTTGGAGTCAAATCTGGCGCCGCCTAGTCCGAAAGCGCTATCTAGTCTCTGTTCCTGCTGATCTCGCGATGCTCTCTCCCTTCTCTCTCTCGGATTAGCCGGAACTCACGAGATAAGACTCTTCACCGCGTCGGCGCCACAGCCGCTTTGTATCACCGTAAAGCGCCGACACGCCGACAATCGAAAGGCTCCGAGCTCTTGCCCTTGCTTCCCCCCGTCATCAGCCGCCGGTTCGAGCCGGTGCTTCCGGTAGCTATCCATAGCTGCACTCCGACCCGGAGCCCACAATACGGAAGCCGCCAACGTGTCGTCGTGCGTGGCCCACGTTGGCGAAGCCGGAGGCTCGGTGCGCCCGCTAGCCTAACTAATTGGCTCCCCTTCGATCCCGCAAGTTGCATGCCACAGCGAAGCTTGCGTCTCAATGCAATTCTTTCTCAACTTCAGCCGATCAGGTGACAAAGATCGCTATTGCAAAGATTCATGCCGCCAGGCACGGATCGGGGTGGCAAAGGGTATAGAGGCCAAAGGACAGCAGCGAGTAGACCAGACCGCCAAGACGTTCCTTTCTCAGCAGTCGTATGCTCGGCCCCCAACGAGGCTTTTCAAATGAGTACGCGGCATGGCCGCCGTCTGTTGCACAAGGTCAGTACGAATCACCACATTCTGCGTCGACTCACCGTGGCTGGAGGTGCTTGATGATCGTACAGGTAGCCTCGAAGGCTAGAGTGAAGATGCTGTCGAGTGTGAGGCAGCGTGACGAGGTGCCCCAGAGATCTCGCCGAGCGATGCAGAGAGCGAATTTTGGCGGTTGGCATGAGGAGTCCGGACGATCATGACGACCGTGGCGACAAGGAAGGAGCAAAGACGGCAGGCCTCTCCGCAAAGGAGGGTATGGCCCGCGTCAAAGGCGGCGATAGAGTGGGAAAGGGACGCCAATGATGGTGATGCGCAAAGCAAGATTCTGACGAGCGCCGAGCGCGCTTCACATCACCTTGGCGCGTTTGCTTTCGGCCTCGTGATCGCCCTCCTCGTACTGAGCCTCGTCATCGTTCTCGTCGTCTTCGTCGGCGTGGAGCCGCTTGAGTTGCGGATGAGAGTGCGCCGCCGTCGATGCTCCCAATGCCGACGCATCATCCTGCCCGTACTCGTCCTCGTCCTGCTCTTCAGTGTACTCGAGGATCTGCTCCTCGTCCGTCGCTGCACAGCGAAACGGTTCACACGGAACAGTCAGCTTTGACGCTCGCTGTGCGCTCCATGACATCCGAAGGTCAAACTCACCTTGCCAAATGTGTGGCTCGTGGCCGTTGGCTTCCCCGTTCGTTAATTCGGCACCCACTGCGGCGCCATCCTCGGCGGCGGCGCCTTCTCCAACCGATTGTTGCGGCGCTTCATCCAGTTCGTCCTCCTCGCCGTCGGAAGCGTCACTCAGGGTCGTATAGAAGGTTTGCTCCGCTTCCGGGTCGAAGCCGCCGGCCTCGTTTTCGTAAGCTTCCTCTCCCTCTTCCTCCTCGTACCACTCCTGCTCTTCACCCTCGTACGCATCCTCTTCATCCTCTTCCTCTTCGTACGCCTCCTCTCCGTACGCAAGCACTTCCTCTGCCTCTTCCTCGCCGCCCTCCTCTCCAATGCCCGCCGCCTCCTCGCTGCCCTCTTGCCCGTCATCGCCGTCTTCTGGCTCTTCTTCGAAGTGGGCATTGCGAGGTTCTGCCTCTCCTTGGCCTTCCTCCTGCACTTCCTCTTCGCATCCGCCTCCACCTTGCTCTTGCTCTGCAACTCCTGCTTCGTCTTGATGCTCCTCTGCATGACCCTGGGCTCCGTCGCCTACATGCGACAATTCGTCGAGCTCATCCTGCTCGTCGAGCGCCTCTGACGAAGCAGTCTCTACGACGACAGGATGCGGTTGACCGGTGCCGCTGGCTTCGGCAATGGAGCCTGCGGCGTCGCCACGAGCAATCGAAGTGGCTTGATCGATGTCGTCGGCGCCGTGACCGTTCTTGTTCTGGTGTTGAGGAGATTCAAGTGGTGCCTGCGAGGCATCCTGCTCACTCTCGACTGCTGCAGGAATGCCATTTGCGTGAGATTGCTGCCTCTCCGCATCATTACTCGCAGCTTCGGCCGGGTCGCTTCTTCCTGTTGACAAACCAGATGTTGCGACTGGAGATGCGTCGTCTTTGGCGATCGCCACGTTGTGCGGCTCAGAAGTGTCAGCCTCGGCTTCGGAATCATCGCTTTCGTGCTGCAGCTGATGACCAAGGAGCCCGGCAACCTGCTGCGCAAGGTCGTTGTACTTTGTGATGAACCTCGGACGTTCCGAGACTTCGATGTGCAGACTGGTTGCAAGTCCGAGTCCACTGTGCAGCTGCCCGAGATCGTCCAGGGTGATCTCGCGACAGTAAAAGTTGTCCTCCGAGATTTCGAGGTCCAAGTCGGGAAAGGCCAGATGAAGCTCTTGCGACTCGTCGAGAAAGTCTCCGAGCGCGCTCTTCTCCCTCAGACCTGCAAAGAAGCTGTCCAGCGGCTGCCAGAGCACGTCTTGCTTCATTTCGAGCGCAGGTGCCTCGATCTGCAGCAGCTCTTCTTCCGCGTGCTCCTCTTGATCACCGCCTTGCGCAGCGTCTGGCGCAGCGAGGTAAGCAGCAATCTCGGTGGCGGGCCATACCACAAAGTCCTGCCCGTTGAAGTTGACGCGCACAGCTCCGACGCTCTGGTACTCCATCTGCTCGTAGCCTTGTTGGGCGTCGTTCTGAACACCATGGTCGCCGTCTTCCGCCACGTTGGTCGATTGCGCTCCCTCTTCAGCGCCTTCAAGCTGATCGAGCTCCTCCTCTTCCCTCTCCTCTTGGTCGTTTGCCGTTGTCGAGGAGACACCAAGGTTGAGCTGCTCTTGTGCCAAGGGCGCACGGATGCCGTGATCTTCCAGGCTCTCGTGCCGAGGTTCTTGCGAGCCGTCTGGCATTTTGGAGCTCTGCTCGTGGCTGGTTATCAAAGGGCTGGTTGGTCGGACGGATGCAGAGGCAAAGGATGAATGTACGCCCGTCGCTTCGCTCGGAGGTGGCGAGAATATGGTGGATCCGCCGAGCGGTGCAGCTTGTTCAGCCGCTTCGGCTTTGTGCGGGAAAGCTTGCGGGAAAGCAGAGATCGAAGCGGTGACAGGTGCATTTTCCATATACGAAGAGGAGGACGGTGTAGGAAACGCTAGCCCAGCCTGCGTCGTAATTGCTTGGCTCTGCTGGTGCAGGTCGGCGGTGTCATGGAAGTCGATGTCGAGACTCGCCTGGTCTTCCGACCCATGCTGACCGGAAGCGATCGATGCGATCACGACGTCGCTTCCGGCATCCTCCATAACCTCCTCCTGGCCGGATTGCAGGAGGGCATCCGCACCATGAGGCTCCATCTCGTAGTCGAAATCAGGGTCTTCGTCCATCTTGACCGGTATGACGCGCGCGCTGACAATGGATCAAAGACGCTGAAGCCGACGCTCTTGATGACGTGGAGCAGCGATGTGTGGAAGCAGCAGAGCCTGGATTGCCAGAGGATATGGATGATTGGTAGAATGAGCGAAGGCAACCAGGCAACGCGTGCTGAAGTGTGATTTCGCATCACGCGTGTTCGTGGAGGAAATCCGTGCGCGCTGCGCCACTTCATTCCGCTCTGCGCAGCCCAACCTAATCTCAAAATGTGCAGCTGCGCATCCCAGCTCGCCTCGCATTGGCAGGTGCAGACTCTCCTGCTCAGGCCAAGGACACAACAAACAAGAACAGGGACGATGCAAAAGGGTCTTTTCACCTTTGCAGAGCCGAATCGGACAACGATCTAGATTACAGGTGGGGAGGGAGAGGGGGGCAGTTTGATATGTCCAAGGCCGTGCATTGCTCGATCAGGCCGAGACAATGAGCGAGGCACAACCCATGCCCGTGCCGACGCACATCGAGGTGACGATGAGCTTCTTGCCGCCCTGGCGCTTGGCCTCGGCAAGACCGGTGGCGATCTGGCGGGCACCGGTGGCACCGAGCGGGTGGCCCATGGCAATGGCACCACCGACCGGGTTGACCTTCTTCTTGTCGATGCCGAGGTGCTCGACCGAGAAGAGAGCCTGCGAGGCGAAGGCCTCGTTGATCTCGAAAATGTCAATGTCGTCCTTGGTGAGGCCGGTGAGCTCAAACAGACGCGGGATGGCGTAGGCGGGGCCGACACCCATGATGTTGGGGGGCACACCGACCACGGCGCACGTGACAAACTTGCCGATGATGGGCAGGCCGTGCTTCTTGGCGGCGCTGCGGCGAGCGAGCAGGACCGAGGCGGCACCGTCGCTGACCTGCGAGGCGTTACCGGCGTGGGTGAATCCGTCCTTGGCAAAGGCGGGCTTGAGCTTGCCGAGCGACTCGACGGTGACGCCCTCGCGGATGCCGTCGTCAGCATCGACGGTGCGCTCGTTGCCATCGTCGTCGGTGTACTTGACGGTGACGATCTCGCTCTTGAACTTGCCTGCCTTCTGGGCGGCGGCAGCGCGCGAAAACGACTCGGCGGCGAAGGTGTCCTGCTTCTGGCGGTTGATGTTGTACTTCTTGGCCACGTTCTCCGAGGTGATACCCATGGGCATCATGCAGTCGGCCGCCTCCTCGTTCTCCATGACGGCGTCCGACATCTTGGCGGGCATCACACCGGCGCCGTAGTTGAGCGTCATCGACTCAACACCAGAGCCAATGCCGATGTCGATCTGGCCGAGCGCGATCTGGTTGGCAATCTGGTTGACGGCAGCCAGACCGGACGAGCACTGTCGGTTCAAGCTGTTGCAGCCAGCGGTGTTGGGGATGCCAGCCCAGAGCGAGCCCATGCGCGCCTGGGTGGAGCCACCACCGGGGGCGAGCACGGTGCCGACGGCGACGTCCTCAATCAGCTTGGGGTCGATCTTGGACTCGGCAATGACACCCTTGAGGGTCCAACCGAGCATCTCCTCGGGAGCGCACTGCGCGAGACCGCCCTTCTTGGCCTTGGTGATGGCGGTACGCAGGGCCGAGACGATGACGACTGCGGTATCAAAGTAGTTTCAGGAGGTATTGAAGCAGATCCAGGGGTGATGGGAAAAAAAGGGAGTTCAAATGCACAGAAGCAGAACAAGCAAGATGTCAGCGACTGCACATGTCGTTTCCACTCGCATCGGAGGCGGCCGTTCGCGCAGACGAAGGCTGGCTACGGCAGTGTACTCACCATCGTCGTCGTGCTCGGCGAGGATGTTCTTCTTTCCGTGGCGTTGCTGGGCGGCAGACATTTTTAAGGATGGGAGAGATGCACAAGAAGGTGTGTACCGGGAATCAACGAGTATTGAGGGGGCGTAAAGGCGAAGTGGGATCACGAGCGTATACAGGTGAGCGTGGTCGGTGGACAAGTGGCTCGACGACGAGATCCGACCTTAAGAAGGACGCGGGCCAGTCAGGTTGCGGGGCAGCTGGCCAGGGGAAGCCGGCAAGCTGGCCCGACTCTTTGTTGGGTCGAGGAGGACCGGCAGCGTTTTGGCCCTGCAGCGTCCGGTCCAGAGGCATCTCGATCCGGCAAGCCTTCGCGGCCTTGGACGGCGGGCGGTGTGTGTATGCGCAGCACCAGCAGCAGAGAGAGAGAGAGAG